TTGCCGATGGCGTCACGCGCACAACATGTCACTTGCTCTACCTCATGCCACTTATGAACCTCGTCAATTCGACTGACAATCTCCAAATCGGATTGTCCGTTCTCGTACAGAAGGCACAAATTCCCCATGTTGGCACCATAGAGTCTAAGGTTGTTGCAAGAAACCAGCACTACAGCGTCTACCAAAGTCCGCTTTCGGTTTGAACATGCCACACACAACACTCTACAAAAGTCGGAACCGGACACAGACAATCGTATGGAACAATATGACACATTTTTTGACTGTATTCTGGCACCGCGCAACGGATATACTTCTAAAAACGAATTGTAGGATGCACAGTCCAACAACTCTTGTTTCAAGTCTGCAGGCCACACCCGAGCTGACCTCGTGACGTTGTCCAGGCGAAGGTAAAATCGGTTATTTTCTTGCTGCCTAAGCGTGGCGCGTAGGGACGGAAGTTGCCTGACACCAATGGCATAATGAGGTACTTTGATCAGACTTCCCCACTCCATCGCGGAAGCAAATTTGTACTCCTTATGCCATGGGCATTTCCTTGCCAAGATGGCTCTATCCCATTCTGCCTCGGACCACGCATCGATAGGCTTGTCAAAGAAGGGAGCGACGGTCATCCACGGGTCATTTTTGAACTATGTTGTCATCGACTCGACAATTTCGGCATCACCTCCCGAACCACGGAATCCGCATGCACAAAGGTGAATGGGGCATGCACACTCATGCCGATGGTTCATGACTCATGTCGCACTCCCTACACAAGACATGAAATGCAAACATAAATGAAAACAAAATATCGAAATAGTACAAAAATCGCCTTCATGATGAACTTAACTTCGAAAATTGCTGAACCGTCACCAACCATCTAAAAATATTAAACCGTAGACCGTGGACAAAATTCGCTACGCAAAATCATCGGAAAAATAATATGCTCCATTCTGAATTCTCGTCCGTTCAAACAGTTATTTTGCAAAAATCTCACTCCCCCACTCTATCGGGCAGACGTGCACTAATCGCTCTTGTCCCCTCCATCTACACTCCCTTCACCAGATGGACCTTCACCAGATGGATTCAGATCGAGAAGTGCAGCTTCAGCATTCAGTCGAACACTGGAAGGAATGACAAGTCCAGTTGTGAATGGTCTTGTACCACGGACCGGTCTCTCCCAACCAAAAGCGATTGAGTCAGCATCGTGCCATTGTGTCTGGTCAGTCATTTTCCATCGTTTTTCCCATGCGTTCTCATGCAGTTGTTCGAGCGACTTTGCTCTCCCAGTCGACACCCAATATTCCACTAGCACTTGATTATAATTTTGCGAATTACAATCAACAACCACCCCTGAAAGAGCTTTGCCCACCCAAATTGGCACACTGCTGGACAAATCATCGTCGGAGGGGCGAAGGATAAGAAAAGTGCCCACGTCGACATGCACGAGGGGGTCGAAACTAGTCTTCGGGCGATTTTTTCTTCGTCCAACAAACAACGGTTCCCTTTCATCGTCGATGTTGACACTGTGAGGAGAAGGTTGTTGATCGATTTCAAGCAGCCGTGGTCGTGGCCAAAAACTTCCCTGGGGTTGTGAGGACAACCCGTTGGCGATGATCTCATCGCCATGTTTGATAACCTCCTCCCAATATCACAAAGCTCTTTCTCTCCTACTCACCTCATGGTCATTGTAAGTGCACCACGTCGACCGCCTACTCTCCAGCAACTCGCGGAATCGAACAACACCATTTTTGCCATTCAAATAGTCTTTTCGAGGAAGGGGTTGCACATGAGGCGGGTCAAACGGCCATGAAGGACCTGCATAGCTCTCATCGGGGTTTTGATTGAACCAAAAAATCGGACCTTCCTCGGGCAACCATTCTTCGTCATCGCAAAACTCCTTGTACAACATGTCCGGACTATCTCCAACCATCAAAAATTTAAGCAAGTGCGGTTTTGAAATACCGGTAATGTCTGACGCAACGCACGGGTCCACTATGCTAATCCAATCTTCCGTCGTACCGAGGGAAATACATTTGGGAGGCTTTTTGTGGGATTGCTCTATGAGCTCGAAGAACTCGTCCATAGTATAAGCGTCTATGTCTTTCAATTTCTTCGAGAAAACGCTGAAAGTAGCGTCAACGTCTGTATGGGTGTGTCCCACCAGCATGAAACCTATTTCTACCTCTTCAAAAACTTTGAACTTAACCAATTGTGCAGCCAGGGCACATATGTACTTGTTCTTGTTTTCCCGCCAACAATTATCTGCTTGAATGCGCAAAAACCGTGGCAGTGGCGTCCCGCTCCCTTGAATTTCGACAAGGGTTCTCATAACACAAGTAGCGACCGTGTTGGAATCGTGTTTGAAATACGGAAACCACGTGTACACATATATACAAGGGTCTCTGCCGTGTGCAATGACGTCTGTCAGATTAGTCTTCATCATCATCTCGTGCCTAAGTGCTTTCGAGTAGTTCGCTTGACCAATATGGGGGATAGTTGTTTTCTTCTGATCTATGCTGTCAATGATGAGACACAAACGCTCGTTCGGACAAACCATGGAATCAGTTTTCGCTCGACTGTAGTCCAATCTGTATTCAACTTGCCTCCTTTGGTGTGCTTTCATATCGTCTCGAGCACGTTCTCGATCTCGAGGAAGAGCAGCATATTGTATACGTTCCTTCAGTTCATGACAGACGGCGCACTTCGTGAACGTGTTAGATTGCGCGAGGGAAACGTCGAAAAAGTGTTTCTGCCAGAACTTATAAAAGTTGGACTCAGGCACGACATCGAGGCCAGCGGCCAGAAAGTCGGATTTGATGGACTCATAAATTGATCTCTTCGTGAAAGCAGCCGGGAGTCGAAGCTTCAGTCTGGAAACCCCACCTTGGTTAGCCACCTCATTTGGCATGCTATCCGCATGACACTCGATGAACGTTCTCATGCTGGCAAGCATGGCGACCGTTTTATTGGTTGGCCTATATTTTCCCGTCAGGCCATGCTCTGAACGCACGTAGCCATTGTCGAAACGCTTTTTGTAGTTGTAAAATATACTACGCGAGACACCGAGCACATTGTAGTACGCCCTGACGCACATTGAACGTTCCAACTCCACAGGGCGGACACGTTTCTGTCCACCCTCATTTACTGTGAAATCCTTAATACTTTTCATCCACCACTCAGCTCGCTCTCCTAGACTCTTACTGTGCAGTCCTTGTCTAACCTTTCGCACTTCCTCAGGTGACACGTTGTAACAACATCGAGCCTTGCAACATGCCATGCCGCGCACCATGAGCAGTCTTTTTTCGGACAGCATGTTTCTCGCTCTTTTATACTGTTCTTTCCTCCTAACGTTTCTATTAGCCATGCTATACCTTCGTCTTTCGCTTGGCAGAGGTGCGGGCAAAATCTGCAGTATCGCCTTTCTCTCTGCAACACCCCTGCCAGACAATTCCGACCCAGACTGACTCTGACTTGGAATCGCATCATCACTTCGCATATGCGTTGGACTCGCCCGTGTTGTGGAAAGCTCCTCCGAAGAATAGTCGGTGGCAACCAACATCGTAGTACTGAAGATAGCGCAAAGCAAGGGTCCACTGGAATAGGACTGTTGTCCAGACGAGTAATCAGTGGCCACCAACCGCTCTCTCTCGTCATCAGATGATGCGTAAGAAACACCCAATGGCACGCAACTGCTGTGCGCCGAAGCTGTGGGGTGCATCTCGCCAGGAATGTGAAACTCTATCTGGGAGGTAGACGGTTCTTTACCCGCGGACGTTGTTGCCAATTCTGTAGGCAGTTGAATGCAACCTCCAAAGCTCTCACGAAAAGCGAGATTCCGTTTTCTGGGGAAATCCGCAACTGCTGTTGGAACGACGAACTTTCCGAAGAGGTCGTCGGGGCCAACTCCAGGTGTTGTAGCTGGCAATGCAAGTCGACGGCTTGTTCAGTTTCCATAGCCCGGTTCATATGGCCGTTCGCCGAGCCTTCTTTGGCGCCGTCATGCAACCGTCGGTGCAGCGGATGCGATTCCCGTCAGCGCAATGGATTATTCTCTCTTGTGCAGGTTGAACGGGTCATTCGAATTCGTGTCCACACCCTGCAAAACAGCGGAGCAAACTGTAAGCATGGTCAGATTTACGCGTTGAGGGCACAAAGTTCACCGGGATCCGTATTTGGCGGGTGCAGGAGTAGCAAGGAACCTCTTTTCGCGCGGCTTGTGTCAGTGGAAGGTAGCGCCAGTGGGTGCATACAAGGAACGCTATGTTTGGGCGAACAGAAGGAAGACTCTGTTGTTGGTGAACGATAGCACGCGCAGAACAAAGGGTAGTGGAGGATGCACTAGCACACAATTCGGCGCATCGCGACCCCAAACTGACCCCTATAAACACCGATTCTCACCATCATCTAAGCGAGGTCGGGCGGTGTTCAATTCGCTGGCACTAGTGCAATAGCTATCGAACACGGACATCTCCACTGCGCAGACAAAAAAAATGTAGAAAAGGATGAAAGATCCCCCCTTCAACCCTTCCAAACATTGATTCGGGCAGTCGAGAAGGCGACCCCCGATTCGCGCGCCGGGAACGTCGATGTGCGACAGTGCGAACCGGACAACACGCAGAAACACACGCATGTCTGCGTCAAGACTCCGCACACCACGACGGTCAAAACCCTCGGGGGGCAAAAAAGATAGTGGGTGCGGGAAATTGCTCGCCTTCTGAAATGCCCTTGAAGGGGTTTATGGGGGTTGCCGACGGTGACAACGGTCGTGTCCCTTATTTTCGGCAACCCCCATGAACCCCTTCAAGGGCATTTCAGAGGGCGAGCAATTTCTCGCACCCGCAGTCCTCTCGCAATCAACTCACACTCGAAGCTCCAGGCGCCATGCGAAGGACAGAGAGATTTTCCCCGATCCTTAAAGTCCACCAGGATCTGAACTTGGCGGATTTGCCTGAAGCGAGTAACAGGTTTTCGCGCGGCTGCAGGTATTGGAACGGGTGGATGGCGTTTGCAAAGAACCAGGCGTTGCTCGGCCTCACCGCATTTCGGGGCGGCGATGAACGAAGATCCACGGCACACCGAAAATGGACCCGACCAGTGACACTGTCAACAACCCCAATAAACCCTTTTCAGGGCAACTCACAAGGCGAGCACTTTTCCAAACTACCAGGCCGCTGGCATTGAAGACGGACTGGGCAGTCCAAGCTGTTGAAAATAACGGTCAGATTTACGGGGAGCCTCTAAGTTCGCCGGGATCCGAATTTGGCGGGTGCTGGAGTAGCAAGGAACCTGTTTTCGCGCGGCCTGTGACAGTGGAAGGTAGCGCCAGTGGGTGCACACAAGGAATGCTATGTTAAGGCGAACAGAAGGAAGGCTCTGTTGTCGGTGAACGATAGCACGCGCAGAACAAAGGGTAGTGGTGGATGCACTACCACACAATTCGTCGCAGCACGACCCCAAACTGACCCCTATAAACACCGATTCTCACCATCGTCTAAGCGAGCTCGTGCAGTGTTCCATTCACAGGTACTAGTGCAAGAGCTTATCGAACTCGAACATCTCCACCGCGCAGACAAGAAAAATGTAGAAAAGGATGAAAGACCCCCCCTTCAACCCTTCCAAACATTGACTCGGCCAGTCGAGAAGGCGACCCCCGATTCGCGCGCCTGGAACGTCGACGTGCGACAGCGCGCACCGGACAGCACGCAGGAACAAAAACATGTCTGCGACAAGACTCTGCGCACTGCGACGGTCAATAACCTTGGGGGGCAACAAAGATCTTGTGTGCGAAAAATTACTCGCCTTCATAAATGCCCTTAAAGGGGTCAATAGGGGTTGCCGACGGTGACAACGGCCGTGACACTCATTTTCGGCAACCCCCATGAACCCCTTGAAGGGCATTCCAGAGGGCGAGCAATTTCTCACACCCACAGTCCTCTCGCAATCAACTCACAGTCGAAGCTCCAGGCGCCACGCAAAGGACGGATAGATTCCCGTCGATCCCCAAAGTCCGTCAGGATCCGAATTTGGTGGATTTGCCTGCATTTGGAACGGGTGGATGGCGTTTAAACAGAAGCAGGCGATGCTCGGGCGCACCGCATTTCGGGGCGGCGATGAACGAAGATCCACGGCACACCGGAAATGGACCCGGCCAGCGACACCGTCGTCAACCCCAATAAACCCTTTTCAGGGCAACTCACAAGGCGAGCAATTTCCCGCACTACCAGGCCGCCGACATTGAAGATGGACTGGGAAGTCCAAGCTGTTGAAAATAACAGTCAGATTTAACGGGGAGCCTCTAAGTTCGCCCGGATCCGAATTTGGCGGGTGCTGGAGTAGCAAGGAACTTCTTTTCGCGCGGCCTGTGACAGTGGAAGGTAGCGCCAGTGGGTGCACACAAGGAACGCTATGTTACGGCGAATAGAAGGAAGGCTCCGTTGTCGGTGAACGATAGCACGCGCAGAACAAAGGGTAGTGGTGGATGCACTACCACACAATTCGGCGCAGCGCGACCCCAAATTGACCCCTATAAACACCGATTCTCACCATCGTCTAAGCGAGCTCGTGCAGTTTTCCATTCACAGGTACTAGCGCAAGAGCTTATCGAACTCGGACATCCCCACTGCGCAGACAAGAAAAATGTAGAATAGGATGAAAGATCCCCCCTTCAACCCTTCCAAACATTGATTCGGCCAGTCGAGAAGGCGACCCCTGATTCTGCGACAAGACTCTGCACACCGCGACGGTCAAAAACCTTGGGGGGCAACAAAGATCGTGGGCGCGAAAAAATTGCTCGCCTTCATAAATGCCCTCGAAGGGGTTAATGGGGGTTGCCGACGGTGACAACGGCCATGTCCCTTATTTTCGGCAAGCCCCATGAACCCCTTGAAGGGCATTTCAGAGGGCGAGCAATTTCTCGCACCCACAGTCCTCTCGCAATCAACTCACACTAGCAGCTCTTGCCGCCACGCAAAGGACGGATAGATTCGCGTCGGTCCTCAAAGTCCGCTAGGATCCGAACTTGGTGGATTCGCCTGCATTTGGAATGGGTGGATGGCGTTTGCACAGAAGCAGGCGATGCCTGGGCGCACCGCATTTTGGGGCGCCGATGAACGAAGATCCACGACACACAGGAAATGGACCCGGCCAGCGACACAGTCGCCAACCCCAATAAACTCCTTTCAGGGCAACTCACAAGGCGAGCAATTTTGCGCACTACAAGGCCGCCGGCATTGAAGACGGACGGAGAAGTCCAAGCCATTAAAAACAACGGTCAGATTCACGCGGAGGCTCGAAGTCCGCCGGGATCCGAATTTGGCCGGTGATGGAGTAGCAAGGAACCTGTTTTTGTGCGGCCGGTGTCAGTGGGACGGAGCGCCAGCGGGTGCACACAAGGAACGCTATGCTTGGCCGCACAGAAGGAAGGCTCTGTCGCTCTCAAGTTGTCGTTGTACGATAGCACGCGCAGAGCAAATTGTGGTGGATGCACCACCACAAAATTGGGCGCACCGCGACCCCAAACTGACCCCTAGTGCAAAAGTTCATCGGACTCAGGCATTTCTACCGCGCAGACACGAAAAATGTAGAAATTGATGAAAGACCCCCCCTGCAACCCTTCCAAACCTCGATTCGGCCAGTCGACAAGGCGACCCCCGATTCGCGGGCCGGTAACGTCGACGTGCGAAAGCGCGAACCGTAAACCACGCAGAAACACGAGCATGTCTGCGACAAGAATCCGCGCACTGGGACGGTCAAAACCCTCTGGGGGCAACAAAGATCGACGGCACACCGACGAGGGACGCGGCCGCTATCACCGTGGGCAACCCCCACAAACGCCTCGAATGACATCTCAGAAGGTGAGCAATTTTTCGCACCCACAGTCCTCGCGCAATCAACTCACACTTGAAGCTCCAGGCCTCATGCGAGCACTTTTGCGTGCCCGGAGGCCTCTGATAATCAGAACACACTCGACAGTCGTGGCCGTCGAAAAGGGCGGTTAAATTTACGCAGGACCTCAAAGTCCGCCGGGATCCGAACTTGGCGCTTGTTGGACTGGCTAGGAACCGGTTTGCGCGGTGGACGACGGATGGATGACTGGTGTGGAATTGCACAGAAGGAACGCTAGGCTTGGCTGCATGGTCAGGGAGGCCCTGTTGCTGCTCACAAGGGTGTGTTCCAACAGAGCACGCACAACAGAAATGGTCGTTGCAGGCGCACCACGTCGGAAATTGGCGCAGCGCGGCCCCCAATAGACTCCCATGGACCCCGATTCTCCTCATCGACAAAGCGAGCACTTGCGGCGATTCAGTCGCAAATGTTGTAATTCTTGATGACAATGACTGCAAGCACAAAAAAAAAATGACCACAGCTGGTGGACCCCCAATTAGTACCGCAGACAAGGCGAGCTCGCAGTCGGGCAATGGCAGGTTCCACAGCCAGGATCATGGGACCACGAACGGGTGCCAACCACGAAGTCCGCCCGGATCTGAACATCAGATCGGTTGCCGCGTTCGACCGGGAGCATCAAACACTTTGTTTTTTCTGGGGTCCCGTTGATAGGACTGTTTTTTTGCGTCGACGCCACCGAAAGAACAGTCATGCAACCAGGACTCTGAAAAGATCCATGCAAACCGTAAGCGTCTTATTTCAGCGACGCGCTCGAAACAACAATAATCATCGGAGCAGCTCGCGACTTCGCATGCTTCAGATTGCAAGTCCGCCGAGATCCGAACTTCGTTGCACGCTGACAACTGGCATGGCGTTATGAACTATCGACCCCACGCCCGAAAGTTGGAAACTGTGTCCCGCAAAACGTAGTCATCAGGGCAACCCGGGATGGCATTGTGACTGCGAACGCGAAACCAACAACCGCCAAACAAAAAACGTGGAGTCGCGTGTGAAAACCTGCCGAAATGGGAACTTCGGATCCCGACGAACTACAGCAATCATGCGCTATGTTAGTACCTGCGCGTGCTGTCCCTGCGGCCGCGCGACGACAACAGATTGCCGCTTCCGCGAGAGCACTGCGCATGATTGTTGTAGTTCGCCGGGATCCGAACTTCCCATCTCGCCAGGCAACCACACGCCACGCGCCGTTCTTTGTTTGGCTGATGTTGGTTTTCCGCTTGCAGTGACAATGGCGACCCCCCTTGCCCCGATGACTGAGACGTTTCCCGGAGGCGGCCGGGCTGTTCGTTATTGAACGAGGCCATGTTTTCGTGTCGAGGTTGTCGTCACGAAACATGCGGCGCTCACGCCGAAGAAACGCCATCGTCATTGCAGCGAGCGGTGCAGGCGTTCTCCATCGCGCGCACGCAACGTGTGCATTCTTCGTTCTAGAGCCCGCGGATGTTACGCGCACAGTCTTGGCATTTGTCATACGGAATGCGATATCGCATCCCTCACGACCAGCGCCAGGAGCGCGCACTCAACATCCATGGCCTCTATGGTGGATCATGTGCACGTTGTGTGCGCGGGATGGAGACGACATCAACTCTCCCGGGATTGACGCCATAGTCTCTTCGGGGAGGGAGGCTGAAGTGTTGTGGAGAGAACACGAACACGGAACGACGACCCCGTCCTGTTCATAAATACCATACCTCTCACTGCACGCCACGTGGACGGCGGACATCCTTCCCACCGTGGCCACCGCGCGACGCTTAATACCAACAGTGGTCGCGCGCAGCCCATGCGGCACCCGCTTGTCGCTCACCACCACCGCCGCGACTACTGTCCGTCCATGCTGGCGCAGTTGGCCCCACGATGGATTCGAACCATCAGTCGTGGATTTGCAGTCCAATGCGTCTCCTTTGTGATAACCAACCTCTAATCTCTTTAATGAGAACTGCAAACGTGAGAGGGAAGTGTTTCGAAGGGGTTTCGTGTTCTGCTAGGAATAGGCGATTTCGTGTTTGCCTCGGCAGAGCGGGAGTGGTTTGCAATGTTCAGCTTGTGATCAACAACCCTTTTTCTTCAATGTCAAGCCAAACAAGAATCGTGGGGGCGGTCGCGTGGAACGAATGAGAGACAAGCAGAACGGGACACGGAAACCGTGTGCCCCGATGTCTACGTCATCCGTTCCCGCCGTCCSAGCCACTTGCGACACGTGGCACGACATGATGATAATGATGACGACGGTGATGATCACGATGATGGTGACGATTACGGTGGTGATGTTGATCTGGACGACGATGTCGCTGATGATGACAACGATGTTGATGATGATGATGTTGATGATGATGTTGGTGATGATGATGATGGTGATGATGACGATGATGATGATGACGATGATGACGGCGATGACGACGATGTTGATGATGACGATGACAACAAAGATGACGATGGTGGTGATTTTGATGACGGCGACGATGTCGCTGATGATGATGATGTTGTTGATGACGTTGATGATGTTGATGATGATGTTGATGATGATGACGATGTTGATGACATTGATGATGTTGATGATGATATTGTTGATGATGATGATAATGTTGATGAAGATGATGATGATCACGATGACAATGATGGTGATGATGATGACGATGATGATGGTGGCGACGATGATGGTGATGATGGAGGCGATGATGACGATGATGATGACAAGCAAGAATCATGGGGCCGCTCGCGAGGAAAGAATGAGCGGGAATCAGAAGCCTCAGAAGGGGACACAGAAACCATGTGGCCCAATGTCACCGACATTCTTGCCCTCCGTCCCCGCAACTTGAAACAGGTGGCGCCACGCGGCCGCTCCCATGGGCCGACAAACATGCCTTACGTCCGACATGCGGGCAGGCAGAACAACACTTTACCTAGAAGAGGGCACAGCGCACACGATGGCACAGCTCTTTGACGGGTCACAGTTCTTTGACGAGGCGCAGTTCTTCGACGACAGCGAAGCGCACACGATGGCGCAACTGTTCGACAAGGGCTCAACGCAGACGGCGGTGGCCACTTGCTGACGCAGGACGCAGAGACGAGATGTCGAAGCGCAGACAACTGAAGCACAGACGACAGTTGTCGATGAGAGGAAACCCTTGCACCCATGCCCGCGGCCGCCTGGCGCAACAACGGAGCAGAAAAGGCGATGGAGGATGTCGCTGACGGAACGTCGCGCGCGAATGCGCTCGTCATGCTCGAGATTCGAAAGGGCTGCGCCAGACCCGAGGCAGCTGAGCCTCAGACTGTCGTCGCACCCCATGGAAAGACCCGCCTGTGTCCCCCCGCACAACCACAGACCCCGCTCGCCAGCCAGGAGACGCGAATGGCCGCGAACCCCTCCAACCTCCCCTTTCCCCCCGCCCCCCTTCCCCCTCCCCCCTCCCCCCTGGACAGTACAAACTACCCCCCCACGACACCTGAGACCCCCTCGATCGGGGCCCGCGAACCCGAAGACACGAACGCGAGGGGCCCGGAACAAGGGCCCGTTTTCCAATGACGTCCGGGAAGGGCTAGCCCGTAGGGACGTTTTTTTGTCACATTTCGACGCACCAGGCCCCCCTCGCGACAATTTCGACACGCAGCCACCGTTCGATGCGCGGATCGAACAGTCGCGCGTCGGCGCGCGGACCCTGCACGCAAATCCGAAACGGAAGGCTCGAGGGGGCCTCGTCTCCCGCGCGCCTACAAATACGAGCGGCGCCCTGGGCATTGATGATGCGTTCTGCGTTTTTGCTGGGGAGATGCTGCCCAACGGAAGCCACGCACCGCCACTGTCATCGACAGCTGGCGCGCCATAGCTGGCACAACCATTCTTCACCGCTCACGTTTCGTGGCACTGATGCACCCCACTTGCCATCGCATGTCCCTTCGCCTATCAAGTCGCTGTCCACGTCATATTCGACGTCGCTTCCGATCTCCTTTCTCGAAAGGCGCGCCCGCCACCCCACGCAGCACCCTGGCAAACGCGAAGCACACGCCCAAAGGTGAACAGAGTGCCGTCACGATAATCGCTGGGGTTCGCGCTCATCTTCACTCGACAGTTCCACACGGTGAGTGCGCCACGCAGTCGGGACGTATGTGTGCATGTGCGCGCGTGGGGGGAGGTTTTTTGTGACGATATGCTCGCGCAGATCGAAAGATTTCGTGGTTGCATGGGTGCGCGTGGGCGTGTGTATGTGGGTGTGTGTTTGTGTGCGATTGTGTGTTTGTGCATGCTTCATTGTGTGTGTGTGTATTCGAGTGCGTGTTCCTTTGTGTTTGTGTTTGTATTGAAGTGTGTGCCACACGCGCGAGGCAGGATCGTGCGCGCGTCTGTACCTGAGGGGCGTGTGTGTGTGGGCGCCGTGTGTCGGCGTGTGTGTGTGTGTGTGTGTGTGTGTGTGTGTGTGTGCGTGTGTGTGCCTGTCTGTGCATATTTGTTCTCGTGCGTGTGTGCTCGCGCACATTTTTCGCGGGGAGATGCGCGCGAACGTGCGCGGTCAGGAATGAACGACATGGTTTGCACTTCGATTCCGCTTCTGCTGCAATCGGTAACGAACGGCGCATGTGTGTGGATGTGTGAGGAAAGTATCAAAAAATGATTGCGCTCGTGCTGTACTCAAGTGGCGAAGCACGAAAGCTCGGATCGAACACGTGGCGACCAATAACGAAACACAACCTCATCGTGAGCACTTGCCATATCCGATTGATTTTGTGTGCTGTCCCAATGTCATGTTCGCCGATCTGCCCAATGGATGATCAATCGAAACGCGCGGTGGCAATGTCGACACAACGAACGCATCCATCGACCAATCGCGAAACACGATGAGATCACTCGCGATCGGATTATTGATCGTGTCTGCCGCGTCGACCTTACCACCGCGTGTGTGTTGTTATTTATGTCGTGTGTGTTCAGATCACTCGTGATCGGATGGTCGATCAGATCCATGACAATATGTACACCACACACGTGATGGACCGACCCATCACGAAACACAAGCCGACCACTCGCGACCGGGTGATAAATGCTGTTTGCTTCCCCAACAACATCGCCGCTGATCTGCCCGACGGATGATTAACCAATGCACGAGGCGACAACGCATCCAACCGACCAATCGCGGAACGACAGAAGATTACTTGCGATCGGATGATTGATCGTGTGTGCTGCACCGAAGATCAACCCGCCGGCGAGCGACCTGTTTTTTTATCCACCTGACAGTCCTTGACTGAACAGTCAATCGGTCAGGAAATTTGCCAGGATCAACTGATTGGTCGACCGCTCTGTTGGCTATTGCTCTACTGGTGATCGACCACCACACCGACCGCCAACCGAGCAGCCGATAAATCAGTTAATCCTGGCAGATGTAATGAGCAATCGACTGTTAAGTGCACATTGATCGTGGAGAACAATCGCGGAGAAGCCTGAAGGCAATTGATCATGTGCACGATCGAAACCGGCGAGCGAAACACACAACCGATCGGAAAAACGTCGATCCCGATCTGCGAACGAATAAAAAGCACTTCGTCACAATCTTGTTGCACATCGAACCTCGTATAACATCGAACCATGCTGGCCATCGAACCTGGCTCCACATCAAACCTCGACGGTCGTCAAACCTCGTCGGACGTCGAACTTTGGAGGACGTAGGGTCGTCGACACTTGACGGTCACTGAAAGGCGAACGTTGAGCACCCACCACCCCACGCGTCGGCGGCACTGTTCTCGTGATCGGAACGTGGCCKTTCCAATCTGGGCCATACCAACTGAACTGATCGCGCAATCAAACACCGGAAGAAGTTGGGATCCAAGCGAGCTTGTGCAGCTGTTCGAACATGCTTCTCAACCCCGGTACGCAACCACAGCCAGGGAAGTGGAAAAATATGAAGTCCGTCGGGATCCGAACTTCAAGAAATTGCTGGACGGTGAGTTTGGCAAACAGGTGTGTATCTCCCACGCAATTTCGCCAAGTTCGGATTCCGGCGAACTTCATGCAGCTGTTCGAACACGCTTCGCAACCCCGGCCCGCAACCACAGTCTGGGACGTGTAAAGATTTGAAGTCCGCCGGGATCCGAACTGCAAGAAATTGCTGGACGGCGAGTTTGGCAGACAGGTGTATGTCTCCCACACAATTTCACCAAGTCCGGATCCCGGCGAACTTCATGCAGCTGCTCGAACACGCTTCGCAACCCCGGTCCGCAACCACAGACCGGGACGTGGAAAAATTGGAAGTCCGCCGGGATCCGAACTTCAAGAAATTGCAGGACGGCAAGATTGGCAGACAGGTGTGTATCTCCCACGTAATTTCGCCAAGTTCGGATCCCGGCTGACTTCATGTTCCTGCTGGCCTGCGGATCCAAACCTCGCTCGCACTGTTCCTTGCAAACTCGTCGAGTCCGGACCTCGGCGAACCTCGGATCCGTGATAATGCAAAGTCCGCCGGGATCCGGACTTCTCCTGCACGGTTCCTTGCACAGACGTCAAGTTCGCGCCCCGGCGACTTCGCTTGTCTCATTGTGCGGGTTCAGAACGTGGGTTTTCTAGCGCCCGGGGGTTGGCACAACTTTGTATTTGAAAAGATGTGAAGTCCGCCGGTTGTTTCTCTCCCATGAGGTCTCGCCAAGTTCGGATCCCGGCGAACACCAGGTTCCCCTTTGCCCTCCCGTGGGTCCGGAACTCGCGTGCCCGGTTTCCCGCACTCAACCCACGCCAAACCCACGCCCAAACCCTCCCGTGAATCCGGACCTCGAGTGGCAAGTTCGGACCCCGGCGAACTTCGCGTATGCATGGTGTGGGTTCTAACTGTGTCCTTTCTCGCGAACGGGTGTTTGCCACAACTTTTGTTTCGCAAAAATGCGAAGTCCGCTGGGATCCGTACTTCTCGTGCCAAGGTTCCTCGTCCCATCGTTAGGTTCGCCTGCTGTGCATCTCCCACGCAATTTCGCAAAGTTTGGATCCTCGCGAATTTGAGCTCTCTTCCCTTCGCGATGCATGTGGCAGGAGATGTTCCTGTTGGGCCGTGGATCCGAACGTGCCCTGCACGGTTCCTCAGACAATTGTCAATTTCGGATCCCGGCGGACTTCGGATTCTATTAAATGCGGAGTCCGCTGAGATCCGAACTTCTCGTGCACGGTTCGTCGGAAAACCGTCGAAAAATGTCTACGGTGCGAAGGGGAACGTCGTCGCCGGTGCCAAGGGGGCGATTCTGGACATGTGTCTGTTCGAGGGTTACGGAGTGGGTGTTGCGAACACCCCGTTCTACAACGACCTCCAGCGGCACGGCGGGTTTGTTTTGGGTCGAGAGTTCTTTGACTTGTTGGAGGGCAAGGACATCGCCCTCGACGTCCCTTGCKAAGTCGGCCCCGACTTGGAACTGTCAATGTCTTTGCAGCCGTACGGCGGTTGTGAGTCGAGCGGGGCAGCGGGGGAGGGGGGGGATCTGGGTTCCGGGGAGGCTACACATGTGCAGCGGGAGAATGCCAGAGGTCAGTTTGACGACAGCGAAGCTGAGGCGACACCACGTCCGCCGTTTTTGCCGTCGAGGGAAAGAGACAGGTCCGTGCTGTCCATACATGGAATCCGGCAAAAGACCGCAGCGGATCCCGGAGAAGAGGGAGTCCTGTGTGGGTCTGACTTGGAGCCCGCCGAGGGCCATGGCGCGGAAGGCGAGGCCGTGGGCAGGGAGGGAGCGCAGGGCACTCCCTAAAAAAGGAGGGGAGAATGTCAAGAAGAGTTGGTGGGCTCTTCGAAGAAACAGAAGACCAAGACCCCGAGGACTGCGGGATAGAAACGGAAGGGGAGGGGGGTGGAAGAGGGCCACCTGGGTAGCAAACGTCCAGCTTCGAAACATAAACAGCCTGAGTCGGGACCTTCTACACCACGGCCTGCCATCGACGTGGACACCGTGTACTTCATGGAGTACAAAGACGGCGTCAGGACAAGGCGGGAGTTTGAGATCAGCCCGGCTCAGATCGTCGACATAAGGGAGTGGGAGGATCTTTACAACCAGCGGTCGCTAGATCCCGTCCTCGTGGAAACGATGAGGGAAGCAATGAGGTCTGCGTTCGAAAATAAAAAACAGACGTACGGGTTGCTGGTCTTCAAGCTCGCACCACTGGGGCTTGAAAAACCAACTCCTGGGACCAAGGCACAACGTCTGAAGCCGGAGGAGTGGAAGGATGAGCTGGCGGGAGAATACTACTACTACGCGGTGTGCGGGCAGCACAACGCGGCTGCAGCCAGGTCGCTGCTCGGCAGCGAGGTGGCCAAGAAGTACAATTTCGAGCRGTGGRCGSCACGGATRGTGTACTTTTCCGACGATGACTTCGAAGGGTATTTTCTTGTTAGTTCACAGGACAACAAGAAGGACCTCAAGGCACCTCCCAGACAGTTGAAACTTTCTATGAAAGACATTCGATGGCAGTGGAGCATGACGGCTGCCCAAGAGCTGTGATGGGGAACTCTAGCGGGAAACAAGATCAGGTCCAGCAGTGGCGTAAGTTTTGTACAACGGCGCTCCATAAGGCGCCTCAAAACAGCTTGTGGCTTCTCGCGGATCAAAAGGAAGAGGAAACCATTAAGAAGCAAAATGCTGCCCTGCGTTCTTACTTACCTCTGGCGATGGCCGAGGAAAATGTCTGGAAACTGGCCGTGGAATTTTTCGAAAAATGGGAGACGGGCATATTGCTGAGCCACGACGGGGCGAAGTGGATCGTCAAAAAGAAGAAGGTCAAAAACGTAAAGCCTGGGGTCGCCTACATCCACAACGACAAATTGGGCAGAACGGAGGTGGTGTACAACGTCCCCGTGGACCCGCCGAATAAAAAGGGCAAAAAGGAGAAAGAGGAGGGCGATTGGTTCGTGCAAGTGCCACACCCGGATGCGCATTGTTCGAAAACAATGGAATCACTCACGGACAATGAGAAGTGTCGCGTTCTGAAAAAGGTGCTTGCTTGCGAGGTCGTTTGGGTCCAGGCCGGCTCCCCGTCGTTGGCGAAGTTGGGAAAGCTCAGCGTGCAGGACATGGTGCAGCTGGTGAAGTGCGACCGCGTGCTGGTCCGGTTGTGGAATTACTACCAATTCAAGCATGAGAAGAGGCCGGACGCGGACTGGATCCAAAGGTACCCTTTCCTGAGATCGAGGTCTGCCGTGTTCAAGAAGTTTGAAGGTCAGGGATTGGATGACGAGTTGTGGAATAACAGCAGGAAACACGTTTCCGACTCGGCGCTGTTCAAGGACTGCCCGCCATACATGGGTTGCGACCAGGACTCGATTGAGGTGACGGAGAAGTTGGCGGGCCACAAGAAGTTGTCTGTCGACTGGAGAAACAAGGCTCTCTCCATGTTGAATGGAAGCAGACTGAAGAGCCAGGAAGTCGCACTTGCCGAAGGCGTCGTTCACATGAAATGGAAAGACACGGGGGACGTGACATCCATCGCGTCGTTCGCCAACGACCCTTTAGAGGCGGACATCAGGGGCGCAGAGCTGAAGGAGGCAGTGGCTGCCACAAAGAGCCACACGTTCGTCCTCGATCTGTGCGAGCCGGTTGACCTCAAACTGTGGAAGCCCCAAGCGTGGGAGACTTTGAATTCCTATCTTCAGACGTGGTGTCCCTCGCATTGGACTCTCGTTCTTTTCGTGTCGCGACAGCACAACCTGTCGTTTCTCACCAGCATGCACCATCTTTCTTTCGTCAAGCTGTTGGAAGGGAAGTGGGTGCGGAGAGTGCAGCAAAACCCGTTGGGAACAATTTGTACACGGAGGAAGACCGCATGTACATCCTCTTCAAGGGTGACGATCTGCGCGTCAACACGTCCGTGGTCTACGAGGGAAACCTGCCCAAGGGTGCCGCTGTTGAGGTGCGATTGCCTCAGAGGGTCACCTTGACGGATGTGTCTGAGATTCCTTTCACGCCTTGCGACTGGTCGCTGGTGGCGCCTGAACGACAGGGCAGCGTCTACGGGGATATGGAACGCAATCCGACACAATTCGTCGGTCTTGTTGATTTTCTTGGAAAGAAGGGGGAGGGTGTCGTGTTTCTTGGGAAACCGCACGCGCGAAGTGTCAGGGAGCTTCTGAAGGCCGGCCGGCACGTTGTCGCAATGGAAGGGAACTCCGACCTCTTGCAATTCACGATGCAGGTGGTGAAAAGCGAGGTCAATTYGGGTGGGCACAATTGTGAGTTCATGGTCGTGAGGCCAACACGGGATAAGGTGTGGAGCAACAAGACGGATATGTGGTTCAAGTTGAGCGAGAGGAAGAGGAACAAGACATACGATTTCTTGTTCCTTCAAACGCGTTTGAGGAGGGACACTGACGCTGAGTACATCTGCCGGAAGGACCACGTGTTGGCACTGCTCGCTTCACCTCACGCATGAACACGAAGACGTTTATCGAAAGGCTGCAGTCGTACTTCGTGGAGTCCGAGGAGCAGTTGAAGCTAGCCAGTTACGCTTCCCTGATCTCCACTGACGACGAGGAAGCCATAGGTGTGAAGTTTGTCGCCAACGCGAAGGAGGAGGAGAGCGACACGGAGAGCATCGACCTGCAGTATGACCCGCCTCCGGCGGACCATGGTCGAGGGTCCTCGTCGGCCGGTCCATCACCAAGCGCTGCAGCCCTCATGTCACCATTGGACAAACCGGTGCCGGGCACCACGCCGATGAAGTTGCTGGAGAGACTTAGAGCTCTGGCCGCCCCCCCCCCCCGCTTTGCGTCTCGGGTCCGTCGTCCCGCCCGATCATCCGTCTTGGAAGGATGACAACATCCACTTCTTGCTTGAACCACAACGTCATTCACCTGAGCGAGACTGGGGCCATGACATGGTTTGGCATCCGGGAGTCATCCAGCCAGCGATACGAAATGGCGAGTGGGTCCTGGCCATGGCAATCCCAGGCGGGGGATGGGTGTCATTCCCACGCGAGTCGAAGTCCAACTTCCTGCACCTCGCGAGCATTTCGGTCCTCCAGAAAGTGAAGGTCGAAAATGACACTTTAGCACCCGGCGACCTGTCCCTCATTTCCACTGCCAGTCGACTGTTCGACAAGCTTCACGACAAGTGCTGGTTGGAATTGACGGAGGACTACTACGAGCTCGACACGAGTCCGTCGAAGGGCATGGTGGACTGGAAAGTGCCCCCTCCCAGTGGGCMGGAYGGTGGTTCYGGGGGGGGGTCACCTGGAAGCGGAGGGGATGGGSGTGGCGACGCAGGGGGTGGCAAAGGAATCCCGCCTATGGGGGAGAGAGGGTCTCACGGCCGCAACACGACACCGGGAGGCAGCGCCGGGGTGGCGGGTTTCGCCGTCGACTTGACTCCGTCGACAGGCACCCGGCCCGAGCATACGACACACTCCGCCGACCCCCCGACTTCATCCGTGGGCTTAGCGAGGGACACGTTGGCAGCCTTGGTTGCTCTGGGCAGTCGCTCGGCCAAAAAGCCAAAGTCCGTCGGGATCCGAACTACGTCGGGTGAGGAGCCGCCAGAGCGGTCCGGAATGCCAAGCTGCTCGGGGTCGGGGGATCCAAGCAAGGATCGAGAAATTCGCAGCATTGCGGCGCGGGACGGAGACGTCGGAAAGGTGTTGCTTGAGCGGGAGCGACGGCCGCAAGGATTGCAGCGGGAGGCTGCAAGTGCAGGGTCCGGTAACACGGAGACCACGAAGTCCGCCGGGATCCGAACTTCTTCGGGCGGGGTTTGTCGGCCAGGGATTGTCGTGCCGTTGAGAGGGGCAGCGTGCACGGGGACGGAAGGGCGGTCCTCGAGATTCAGCACGGGTACCGCGGAAGGGGACGAGTTTCGTGGGAGGGAAGTAGGGGAGAAAATGGAGGAACAGAAGGGAGCGCAAGAAGGGGAGGAAGAAGGGGAAGAACAGGTGGAAGGGGAGGAAGCGGGAGAAACGGAGCTAATTGATTTGTTTGAAGAAAGGGAGGGTGCCGGGTCTGGAGAAGACGAAGTGGAACACAGTGAGGACGATGCCGGATCTGGAGAGTCGTCTGACGAGTTCGGATAACTGTACGGAGAGCATCACGAGGATGATGTCGACGACGATGCCATGGCAATAGAGATGGAGACACAACTGGTCAGTAGCCTTTCCGCAGAGCCTGAAGATTATGCGGTCCGGCCACTGACGTCTGCTGTCGACTTGCAACACCGGTTCGACGAGGCTTCCGTCGCTATCAGCCCGTCTGAAAAAAGTCGACGTATAAGCATCGAGAAAGTTATCGACGGTATCCTAGACGACCACAACGTGTCTGCCCGTCCGTCCGCAACTGCCAACATCGCATCTCCCGTGGCAGCTGCACTCGTTTCGTCGCCGACGAAGTCTCTGGTGCTGCCAGCCACCCTTGCCGCCGAAGGGGAAGGCGAGTTCGGTGGAGGACAACATGTGACGTCCCCAAAAAAATCGAGGTTCGGCGGTCAAGCTCTCGACGTGCTTGCTTTGCCTGCGCCAAATTCACCATCGAAGGAGCGGAGAGAGAAAAAGACTGGTAAGCTGTGAAGAACGCCTGCGCATCCGGATGTCGCCGGATTACAGTCCGCGCTGTACACACGACGATTGTCCTCACTGTCTGTACATAGGGGAAGTTCCGGATGCCGGCATGCTACAGCCAGCAGCCCTTCGTACTCCAGCTCGTCGGCCTATCTGTGACTCGGCCGGGTTGCTAGTCGAGGGCGGCGAAAACTTCGTCAAAAACCTTACACTCCATCCAACGAAGGATCTGCCCCGGCTGAGGAAGTGGCCAAGGTGCTAAGAAAGTGGCTAAGTAGATGGACTAACAGTTTTCCCTTCTCGAGAATAGTGTCGGTTTTAGTCCGCCGGGATCCAAACTTCCTTTGTCGATACGTGATGTGGTCAGTCTCAGTGGGGCTGGTGTGTTGAAAAGTCCGCCGCAGTCCGAACTTCGGGGATTGCTGGCCTCCGGCTTCTGTGATTTGTGGTGGTTTTCCTTTGCAAAGTGCGGGGGTGATAAGCTCGAATGTTGCAGTCGTTTTGTTTTCCGGTCGCACAACCGCACCAGGGTGCACATGACCACGAGAGATCAGGGTCCTGTGGTCGGAGAGGTCCTGCTTGACTGTAGGCCAAGGTGCTAAGAAAGTGGCCAAGTAGATAAACTGACAGTTTTCCCTACTCGGGAATAGTGCCGATTTTAGTCCGCCGGGATCCAAACTTCCTTTGTCGATGCGTGATGTGGTCAGTCTCAGTGGGGCTGGTGTACTGAAAAGTCCGCCGCAGTCCGAACTTCGGGGATTGCTGGCCTCCGGCTTCTGTGAGTTGTGGTGGTTTTCCTTTGCGACGTGCAGGAGTGATAAGCTCGGATGTTGCAGTCGTTTTGTTTTCCAGTCGCACAACCGCACCTGGGTGCAAATGACCACGCGAGATCAGGGTCCTGTGGTCGGAGAGGTCCTGCTTGACTGTTGCGYCTGTACGAATGTATGGTTCTCATTTTCCGTTTTGTCTTTCTTCTGTTGTACAGGGGTGGTGTCGTCTCGAWCACGGAGGTCCTCCAAATATCCAGAGCACATATTGCAGAAAGTCCCCGGGTTGAGTACAAAACACAAGGATATGTTAAAGGCATCAGGGGTTGATGTCGAGATCGGGAAGAAGGAGTACACCGTTGCCATTGAGGAATGTCTTTCCCTTCTTGCCCCAGAGAAAGGGACATATCCACGATCTGTGAGTAGGGATCAGGCTATGTATGAGAAATACTTAGCAACACGTCATGCACCCGGGGACAATGCCTAGAACTCCGTTTCTCACTACCCCACGTGTCCTTTGCTCGATGTTGTGCAGTGCGGGCAACAAGTGCAGCACGCGGAAAAAGTTTCGCTGCAACGATTGCGCCTCTGAGCTTGCGGGTTTTGGACGACATTGTACGAGGCTCGGTACCGTCTAGCACTATTCTCTCTATACTGGGCGACGGTCAATTTCGGATTGCAGCAAAATATCTCATCACCCTCTTGCATGTCAACGGCAGGGTGAATGATGAGGTGGTCAATTTCTATATGGCGTTGTTGGGCTCAACCGCATGTGGGTCACGTGACATCTCTTCAGGCCTTCAAGTCTTCAACTTTAATTCGTTCTTCTTTAGTAAACTGCGACTTCAAGGACACGGTGGGGTGCAGAGGTGGGCTAAAAACGTAGATTTGCGTCGTTACGATATTATCTTCGTTCCTGTCCACAAAGATGATGATCACTGGATCCTCGTTTCCGTCAACATGAGAGATGATGTTCTCGAAATTTTTTATTCTTTTCCTCGCATTGTAGTTGATTCTAGTTTTTACCTTAGTGTTTTCGGGTTGATTGTGAAGTATTTGGAACGTCAGACATCACATAGGTGGTCGGGTAGGAATTGGAAGTCCATAGTGGGAAATGTTGTGGTGGATGGAGTTCCGAGACAAGTGGATGAAGCAAGCTGTGGTGTGTTCATGTTGATGTATGCGACGTTGTTGCAACGTGGAGATCGACCGCCTTTCCGGTTCTCTTGTAAAGATATTCCGCTTCTTAGACGACAATTAGCATCATGTATCTTAGAACATCGTTGTCTTTGATGGATTTGATTGACTTCGAAACTTTTTTTTAAGGTGTTCCATTCGTTGATCGTTAAATTTCGTAAATCGAGACATTATTCAACTGTCCTTCTGCCTGAGGCATTGCTTTCTTTTATCGTTCCGAGTTCGCATTATCTAAGGCAAGCTCAATGCATGTCCTGCTTCATGTATGGGCTTTGTAATCTGTGTCACGTAATGTTCCATGTTCCGAATTCTGTTCAAGTTGAAGTATTGTGTTCCATGTTTCGAATTCTGTTGAACTGGAAGTGTAAACATGATTGTGAAACTGGTTGGTGGATGAATGAGAAATCTCATCTTATGTGAAATTGGTCAGTGGATGCCCAAACCTTCTTTGCATGACCATTTAAAATGCGGATATTCATTGTGATGGAGCACAATTTAAAGTTCTGCACTAGTACATAGAATATCGAAATTAAGTGGTTATTGAAATACACCTTGCCCATCACAACTGTAAACAACTATGGATCTCAGTGCCCTCATGTCAGGCGAGATGATGAGCGTGCCTGTATGCGGAATTTATGCAAACACACCCATCGTCTCACCCGAGACGATTGTTTGGATGTTAAAGAGATTCGTACTTATGCAAGCACACCCGTCGTTTCACCCGAGACGATTGTTTGGATGTTGAAGAGATTCGGACTTATGGATAACGTAGTAAACGAAAATTTAATGTGTTAACCAACAACAGTTCAATCATGACACCTTGCTCATCACATACGTAAGCTTTGAGTTTAACAAGTATGGATCTCGGCACACTCCTCTTCCAATCTGCCAGGGTCACAAGTCTTCTAAAAACAAGTCTGGATCTCAACATATATCTAAACAACCGTCTTCAGCAAGACGATGAACCTGCATGTGTGCCTTTGGGATAACCGAAAGAATTATACTCTCCAATTCAATCTAATTACATTGCTAATTTTGTTTACAAAAGTTCAACAACTATGAATGTCAGCAAACTTTCGCATTTGGGGCGAGTGGGCGGGCATGCCCATGTACAAACACCGCAGACAAAAATGAATTCGTAAGAAAGAGGACAGTGTCACAATAGAGTTACTGTATCTTTCATCACATTTATGAAATTGAAGTTTGACAAGTAAGGATCACGGCACACTTCCGCACAGGGTTCCCTTTGGCGTGCCAATCGTTGTTCGTTTATGAAGTTTGACTAGTATAGATCCCAACAAACTTCCCCACAGGATGTCCAACATGTTTTTGAAGTCCAACAAGTAAGGATCCCAACACACTTCCGCATTTGGGATTTCATTTATGAAGTTTCACAAGTATGGATCTCAACACGCTTCTGCATGTGGTTAACCCCTGGATGGGCATGCCTACGTTGCTTAGGCTGCAACCAAAAATTAATTCGTTAGAAAGAGGACACAGTATAATGTTCTATTTTAACGAATAACGTGTTGCCTGTTTCCGGCTGCCCCCACACTCAAAGCACGGATGAGAGCATTGAGAACCTTCCTGAAAAGCACATGGAGGGCCCCCATTTTGACCTCCGTTGTTTTTTCGCAGATGCGGTTCATTATGCAGAGGATGGCCTGCAGCATGATCGACAACCCGGCGCGCAGACAGGGGATACCGTCTTGGATGATGAGGCCCTCATGACGAGGAAGTTCCCAAGGAAGATGGCATCGCTTCTCTTACCGGATAGGTACATCAAGAGTCCGTCCAAAGGGATCAAAAAGAGAACTAGGGAGGAGAAACGTGCGAAACCCCAGTCGAACACCATCCTCTCATATTATGTCAGACCCAACCTATTTGCGGATCACGCCAACGAGGAGTCGAAAGCGTCGGCTACTCATGTTGGGTTTCAATCCCCAGCGGCTGAGGGTACCCCCCCGGCCTCCTCGATTTCCTTTAAGACGCAAGCATCCACTTTATCTTCGGTCAAAAACTTGAGACGCAGTCCCAGAAACAGAGTGGCTGTGAAGACTTCTCTGTTTGGTCCCTGAGATGGGGGACTAACGAGGATGTGTTTGTTGTGCTTTACTGTTGCAGGAGAGTGAAGGTTCAATTGTTGTTGATGAGGGAGGCAGGAATAAGTGGGTTGGTGCCAAGTCAGCAAAAGTTGACCTCTACGTCCACTTGAAGTTTGTCAACCGAGCTATGGAGACAGTTAACTTCAGATCCATCATCGAGAAGGCTTTTGATCTTTTGTTCCCACAAACGACTGTTATCCTCCTATCCAGGATTGTCATCGGATGGATGTACTTGCAACCTCTTGAATCAATATTCTACAAACCCACGACTGTTTTTCGAGATTTTGTGCTGAGTGATTGGACTGAGTCATGCGCTACGTCAGTGTCTTGCCCGTGCTCTACGAAAAAATACCTCCCTTTTCACCTCCCTGAATCTTTGGAAATGTCCCAACCATTCGCCTCAGCCTCTATGCATGTAATAACCCTGAATCCCTCCATCTCGTCCAATAAAAGGGTTGCTTCGCTTTTAAGGATGGGTCTGAATCACATCCCCATTCAGCCAAGGAACTATGTTTGGCTCACCAAGAGTTTATGAAAGG